ATGGCAAGTTTTACTATTTATTTACCATGGATAATATATCTTCACTAATATGGAAAATTTACCTTAAATCCCCGTGGCAATATTTAACTTTTATTTCCCTGGCAAATTTTACTTTTTATTTGCTATGTTTAATTTACCTTTATTAACATGGCAATTTACGTAAATTCCCACGGTCAATTTTAACTTTTATTGCCATCGCAAGATTTACTATTCATTTGATCTTTATTAATATGGCAGATTTTACTTTTATTTTTGCGTGCCAATTATTAATTTTTCTACACCATGGCAAAATTAACCTTTTTATTGCCATGGCAAATTTACCTTTTATTTCCCATAAAAAATATATTTAACTTACATGGCAATTTTAATTTTTGTCACTCATGGCAAACATACTTGTATGCAACATAGCAAGTTTTACTTTTATTTTGCCATGGCAAAAATACTTAGAAAACACGGCAATTATTACTAAACAATAGATGGTGCATTTTTTTGTTTTGTGCTTCGGCAAATTTATATAGTAAAAATAGCACACAGATTTTTAATCCATATTTTCTTGAACGAGAAATCTAACCACCAGTCGGCAGGATTTTAGTAATAGATCCGAACGACTCCTTCGCCGTTCGATCTGGATCATGCGGGCGCGCGCTTGTCTTCCCTCTTTCCCGATTTTCGTCTTCCCTTTTTCCTTATTTTTTGGTTTCAGTTTCCTATTCTATCGGTAGTAATTAACGTTTCCTTTAAAACTGCACCTGCCACATTTATACTGCTTTCGATCCTGGCCCGATTGTTGCTCCCACCCCGAAATCTCGCAATAATTAATGTTGGATTAATTAGCATGCATGCCGCACCATTTTTACGGGATTATTAAAGCAGCGGTCAAAAATATAGGTCATCCACGGGATTTGATCCTTGGTCGTTGGTTTAGTACATTTGCCCACCAACCACCTTGTATGTCTAGTCCTTGTGCAGATGAAAGGGTATTTTCATGGTTGACTTTTTGTTTTTATATTACCAGTGTAGAAAAACCCATTTATGTAGTGCTATTAGAGTGGAACAAAATTCACCTCGCGTGGCTATGATGGTCTCGCCGCAAAACGCCCCGATGGTGCCGACGGACAATGTTAATACCATAGGGTGAATATGTATAAAGCATGATAATTTACACACGGCACATCTAATAACTTGCATACAAACACTATGATAACTTTGACAGGAGTGGGAGGTTGTTGAGACCATACCCCTGATAACTTCTATGTGAAGAGCATGCTAATTTACGCATCATTTAGCTGATAACATG